CCCCTCCCTGCCACTTCCCTTTTCGCGACTTCAGTCACACCCTGTATCAATCAATGCCTTGATCTGCCATTACCGGTCTCGACCATGGCCTAGATCTCTTGATTCCCGCCAAAAGAGATGCACAAATATTTGAACACCAAGTCCACCGCTCCTTCAGGAACTAAGACCGACAATCTGGTGCCCAACGTGCCTCAACTCCCAACCAGCCTCTCTATCTCCAATTCTCGTTCTCCCTTCCCAGCACCACCGACACGTAATTCGAACAAGAATGTGAACGAGCATATCCACGTGTCAATCGGAACGCACTTGCCAACTCCGCCCTGTCTACGTGCCACTCACAAAAGCGCCTCCCTTCCTTCCCTTCTCCTTCGCTCGCGCTCACAAGTGCCTCTTCCTCCGAACGCTCTCTACGCCGTTCACCTGCTCTCGGTTTCTCGATCCTTTCCCGCCCGTGATGAACAAATGGCGCTATGGGACACGGGCGAGGGCGCGGGGCGCGGGGCGCGAGGCGCGGAGCGCGGGACACGGGACACGCCCGTACCCTCTCTCTCTGGTCATCCACGCGCCATCATGACGGACACATCCGGCGCCATGCGCCGCCATGCGCCAGGGAACATGCGACTTCCACGTGGCACAAAGTTCGCCTACCAACTGCTTCACACAAGTTCAAACAGCCCGCGCATCATCAGGCGCCACAGTGGAGGTGGGCGTTCGGGCAAGCGCGGGCGCAGGTGGAGGTGGGCATTTCGGCAAGCGGAGGCGCAGGCGGAGGTGGGCGTCCGCGCAAGCGCGGGCGCAACCAAAACGCAGCGAGGTCAAGGACACAAGCGCGGGACCACAGCGCGTTACTCCAGCCACGCCAATTTTCCCGCCTTTGCCGAGCCCCGAGCCGTTTTCTCCACAGGCGGAAGAGCGCCGCGAGGTCCCACTTGCCCGGCGGGACGATTATTCATTTTCCGCCGTCGATTTTCAATATCTACGGTCGAAAAGGCGAACTACGCGGGCCGGCGGGCGGGTGGCGCGACCCGCCGGCGCTCAATCGTTCGAACAAGCAGCAGCAGCAGCAGCAGCAGCAGCGGCAGCAGCAAACGCTGCAACCGTGCGCACGAGCGCGCCATCGTGTCTCTACCAAACTAACTAAGCGGTTGTTCCCGCCCGTTCTGGCTGCCGCTTGCCCCGCCCCGCCCCGCCCCGCCCCGCCCCGCCCGCTCTCGTCGCACACCAGCGTCGCACACCCGTATCGCGCTGCCCTCGAGTCGTGATCAGACCCGATTGGGCGGCGAATCGTCAGACGACTTTTTCTGTTCTGTGCGACCTCGGGCCGGGCCGCGCCGCACCGCTTGCCAAATGTGAGAAAGAAAAGACAAAAATTATGGTGCGTGTATACTCCCACATTCTTCGGGTACATACCTTTTTTGCACTTTCAGTGCGTGCTCCGGCGAGGCCGCAAAGCGCACCTCTGGACCGGCCATTCAGCACCTCAACAGACGAGAGGCGTGGTCCCACTTTCCTGTATGGGTTCTCTGTATCTGGCCGTTGATGATCTCATGAATCTACGGTCGACAAGCGAGAATCCTCCCAAGCGCGGCGCCCCCCTTGCTGCCCGCCAAGTCAACCTCTAACGTCACAATCGCGGACAGTTGAATTTGAACTCTCTACCTGGTTGGCCCATGAGCGCCGGCATCGCATAACTGTGAAGTATCACCGTATTGTCTCTTTTTTTTCCTTCTCTGATCTGAGGGCATACTGGCATCAGCAATCAGCAATTTTTTCACTTACTTCTGGACGCAATTGGGGTCAGATGCATATAAGCCTGCGATATGCGTTCTCCGTTTTGCTGAGCAGTGGGTCGATTTCCTTCATACGGAGATCCTAGATTTGATTGCCAGGATAGACGGTCAGAAGCAAAGATCACAGTAGTGGGAGCTAGGCCCTCATAAGCGGGGCGCCCCCCTCATCAGCCTCGCCGCACCACCCGATAAAAACTATGGAGGGTATATCTTCCTTGCTTTATTGCAGGATACATGCCCCATTGACTTACCGTGAGGGCACGGGTACGCAGCCTGTAGTTTGTTTGTTGATGTTGTTGTGGACGTGTGTGTGTGTGTGTGTGTGTGTGTGTGTGTGTGTGTGTGTGTGTGAGTGAGAGAGAGAGAGAGAGAGAGAGAGAGAGAGAGAGAAAAATCAGGGCCGGCGCCACTTTGTCAAAACGCCTCGATCGCTAAGGCACCACGCTCCCGGCGCACACAGGGAGACTATCAATTTGTGAACGCAGAGGGACGGGAGCGGCCGTCGCTGCTTTTGGCCTGTTTCGATTTCGACCACAACAGGCTTCGAATTCAAACCACCATTCTACCCGACATTGGAAATTTGGGGGACCGGTAGCACAGGTCCATGAGGGCTACCAGTAGCACAGAGTGGAGAACCGCCAGAGTGGTGAATATGGAAAATAGGATGAATTTGCGCTATAATCTATTCCGCGGTTGAGACAATTTTTTTAATTTTTTTAAACATTTTTCCTGAAAAGATCATGACCAAATCTACGGACCCTCAACTTTTCAGATTGTTTACGAGTTCTTCTGAGCGTGAAAAATCTTTGAAATAGGGGTACTTTTCCCGTTGGCCCACAAGTTGTCGTGTGCCAAAAATGGAAAAAGTGACGAATTGGCGCGGCATTTATTTCATGGTAAAACGATTTTATTTTATTTTGTTGATATTTTTCCTGGGAAGATCACGACCTGGCCTACCCGATATCAAATTTTTAGATCTTTTCTCCAATTATTCTGCGCACGAAAAATCGCCAAAGTTGGCGCTCGAAAATTGCAAGATTGGACCCACCTGCGCCTTCCAGTCGGCGCCCCCCCTAAAAACCCACCCTTACTCAGCGGAATGCCAATTTTCAGGACCCAGCCTCCCCGACCTCCCGTGGGCAGCTACCGATCCTCGAGCAGCGAAAATTTTTCGGGATCCGGCCTCCCCGACATCCTGCGGGCAGCTACCGGTCCTCCAACAGCGAAAACTACCTATTTCCCATGAATTGGACCCCCAACAAATACACCACCCTTCCAACTACCGCACCATTTGGTGCCGACAACGAAATTTCTTAGGGGCATAAAACGAACCCCACGAGGGGCGTGGGGGCGCAGCCAGAATGGCGGCGGGTCGGCGATCGCATCGACTTACCGTGAGGGCACGAGTGTGCAGCCCGTAGTTTGTATATGCTTGATTGATAAACACAATGAGAGAGAGAGAGAGAGATAGACAGAGAGAGAGAGAGAGAGAGAGAGAGAGAGAGAGAGAGAGAGAGAGAGAGAGAGAGAGAGAGAGAGAGAGAGAGAGGGCGCTCAGACAAGGAGCAAAATGGGCATGTGACTCACTCAATCGGACACTGAATGTGTGGGGCGGATGGTGAACATGTGGGGCGTTGAATACGTCCACGTTCAGAGATATCTGTTTGCACTAGCAAATGCAATGCAGGTGTGTCTTTTCAACCTGCGGCCAAGGCCGCGCCCTTTCCGATTCAGACTTCCACTTTTCCGCTCTGCCGCTGCTTTGCCACCGTTTCAACTGAAACCAGCGCGTCGTCCCACAGGCAACTACTGGTCCCGCATTTTTCAAAGAAACGGCCACCCCCCCCCAAAGTTTCACCCTGCAACTGCTTTGCCACCGTTTGGACCAAAACCCTCCGTGCGGTCCCACAGGCAGCTACCGATCCCGCATTTGTCAAAGAAACTGCCACCACCCCCCAAAGTGTCTTGCCTGCACCTGCTCTACTCGCAAGGAAAAGCACGGGCATATCAGGGACTCGGAGACCAGCTGGCAAATTATTCATATACCTTGCAACTGGATGGCATAAATTATGTCCATACTCAATGCTTGTTGGGCTGCAATGGTGGACTTGGTGGACACACGAGCATCATCTAGTGCTCGGAATTCAGGGTTTGTGGTATCGGCCACGTCTTCGGTGTCGCACAGGCGAAAAGTCTTGGTGATTATTCTAGCACCAGGCACTTTGCCACAATAGGTGATCTGTTACTTTCGGCGTTGAAGTGCGAAACCGGCTGACCAGCGTTTTATAGCGGCGTGCGTGCTAATTTTCTCAGAAGAGTGTATGCGTGTGTATGTGTGTGTGTC